GAAGAAGAAGAAGAAGAAGAAGAAGAAGAAGAAGAAGAAGAAGAAGAGGAAAGAAGAGGAGAAAAGAAGAAGAAGAGGAGGAGGAAGAGGAGGAGAAAAGAAGAAGAGGAAGAAGAAGAAGAACAACTTCTTATTGGATGAGAAGTGAAAGGAAAAAAACCTAGGAAGTCCAATTGACTTCTAGAAAAACACCTTTGGGATCTCCAGGGCACCTTTTTTTATATACCTGAAGACTGATAGGTCCTCCCATTATTGATTTCTTCAGACCAAGCATCTCAACTTCCTCCAACGTTCTTTGTGAAAATGGATGATAACACATTCATTGGGGGATAGTTTTGCTTACCTGTTAAAGAATGCATTCTCTAGACCCCAAAGCCCTAACCTCTAATAATCATAGCTTTTTCTCTCCCTTTTCTATTCTCCCAGAGCTCCACCAATAATTGGCTACTTGCCCTTTGAGGTTCTTGGGACATCTGGTTACGACTACTATCACGCGGATGATTTGGAACTTATTGCTAGGTGCCATGAACACTGTAAGTCTCTTCGTTCCTTGTTCCCAAGACTCACCTGGGCCATAACAGCAAGGGAGGGTTTACCTTAACCATGATTTTGTGGCACAAACTAGAGTCTTCTCACAGGTGAGTAGATAATAATTTGCCTAGCCAATAGCTGATTTGTTTTTTTTTTAATTGCCATTGTCCACCCCGAACAAGTGGGAAGGATGAAAGAAGCCTAGAATAAGCCAGGATTGACTTGGACTTCCTTGCTCATGAAGTCACAGCCTAGATGTAACCATCAATCTACATGCTAATGGAGAAAACTTCTCCTCTAAGGTAGATGAAACAGAAATTGCAGCTCTTTGCTGTGAACTAAACCTCACTCTGGACAGTATCTGGTTTGTATAATCTACATGATTGACATGATAGCAGTGCTCCAATATTTGAGGGGCTATCCCCAAGAAGAAAGGGGGTCAGGCTATATATCAAAGCACCTGAAGGCAGGACTAGAAGCAATGGATGGAAACTAGTCCAGGAGAGAAGCAATCTAGAACGGAGGAGAAATTCCTTGATAGTGAGAAGAATTAACCAGTGGAAGGCCTTGCCTTCGGAAGTTGTGGGTGCTTCATTCAGAAGAGATTGGACAACAGGGGCCTATTGAAAGCTACTTCTGTAGCCAGCTGCCTACAATTTAGCAGTTCAAATCCCACCAGGCTCAAGGTTGACTCAGCCTTCTACCCTTCCGAGGTGGGTAAAAATGAGGATCCAAATTGTTGGGGGCAAGAGGCTGACTCTGTAAACTGCTTAGAGAGGGCTGTAAAAGCACTGTGAAGCGGTATATAAGTCTAAGTACTATTGCTATTTGTCTGAAATGCTATAGGTTCTCCTGCTTGAAGAGGGGGGTTGGACTAGATGACCTCCAAGGTCCCTTCCAATTCTGTTAGTGTGTTATTCTGTTAGCACAAAGCGTGCCAGATAGTCCCATTAACCAGATTAACAGGTATCTAACTCTCTGCCAGTATTTATTTATATATATATATATATATGTATGTATGTATGTATGTATGTATGTATGTATGTATGTATGTATGTATAAATTCTCTTTTAATTCTCTTTATCCCATCTTCCTCTCCAATTACACAATGATTTGACTGCTCCCTTAATTATCTCTTCTTGGAGTTCCCAGTGGCATGTCTCTAATAACCCTTGGATGGACCTCCAGAGAACGCGACAATGCCAGGAAGAAGAATGCAAACCAGTGTGTGCCAAGCAGGGTTTAATAGAGGCTTTTTGTTGTTGTTGTTGTTAATACACAGTGATGCAATTTGGCAAAGGCAAGTCCTGCTACTACAGATTCTTGACCAAAGGCCAGCAGTGGATATGGTTACAGACCCATTATTACATCACCTACCACCAGTGGAACTCCAAACCCGAGTTCATTGTGTGCACTCACATGGTTGTTAGGTAAGCACCCAAACTGTGTGTCTGCCCCTACCAAGCCCATGCTTCCAACATGTGTCATAGTTTGCTGGAGTGTAAATTGGGCTATGCAGGAGGGAAAACAGCTCTATATTTTTTCTGTTGGAGGTAACAGACATCTGAAAGCAGTATTCAGATAGTCCTCGGTTTACCGATGACAATAGAGATTGGAGAAATCCACATTAAGACATCTGGTTGTTGAGTGAAACATGCTGGCTGGGGAATAATGGAAGCTGGAGGCCACATGCCTTAGTAGCCAAGATTGAGAAACACTGATCTAAAATATGGTGCATACAGTCAAGTCAGACATAGACCAGATGTTATAAAGTTTATTTCTACTAACCAGAGGAGAAAAGAGAGAGGGAGAAAGAAAGAGAAGGAAAAGAAAGGAAGAAGAAAGAAAGAAAGAAAAATAAAGAAAATAAGAAAGTGAAAGATAAAGGGAGAGAGAAAAAGAGAGAAGGGGAGAGAGAAAGAGAGAGAGAAAGATAGGGAGAGAGAAAAAGAAAAAGAAAGGGAGAGAAAAAGAGAAAGAAAGAAAAAAGAAAGAAAGAACAGGAGAGAGAAAAAGAGAAAGAAATAAAAAAGAGGAAAGAGAAAGAAAGAAAGAAAGAAAGAAAGAAAGAAAGAAAGAAAGAGAGGATCTATATCTTATATCTTCTATAGCTTTTCATAATTTTTCATTTCTACTCTGATGTATCCTTCATGCTTTTAATGACTGTCCCCAATCCTCCTTATGCTGGTCTAGGACCATAATAAATATTTGACTTATTGGTCGCTTGATGCATTTATTCTGCCTGGGTAACTCTTTCATCTTTACCCCCTTTTTAAAAAAGCTATGCTGAGGTTCGAGCGGAAAGGAGAAGGGACGTTGGCCTTGAGGAATCTTCCATTGAACTGGCCTCTTCATCCTTAAAGGTATTGTATATTCCAAGAAAATCCAGTAAGAGACTTTTGGCTGTTCAAAGGATTTGCGGGAATAGGAAATGGATGTTTCGGAAGAAGAAGGGAATGTGACATTTTCTTTCGGGTTTCTTTGCGTTGGTTTCAACCTTCAAATATATCAACGTTGCGGAAATGCACATTTTTTTGGTCCTGCCAACTTCTTTTCTGAGGACGCCAAATGGGTAGATGTTCTGGACTGATCCTGCCAGATCTAGTTGCCTCACCTTTCGGATATTACAATACCGATCATCCCCAGTCAAAAACATGATCAATGGGAATTGCAAGCGACCGGCTGGAAAAAAAAACTGGCTTTATACTGGATGAGTAAAGGTCTGCCCCACATTTATAATAGGCCTCTGGATTGGCGTTTTTAAGATAGGTAGAATTCTTCAGCCAACACAGCGAGGGATTCTGGGAGTTGAAGTCCAGCTATCTTAAAGGTGCCATCATTGACAAATGCTGTTCCAGATGTATGGTGACCATTAGGAAGGATGCAGGAAATGAAGTATTATTATTATTATTATTCCACACAAAAAATGACAGTGTACACAGCAAACAAGAAAACTATGCTGGGTTTTGTATCACAAATCGCTTGTCGAATACTTCCCAAGCATTTAGGATTATTATTATTATTATTATTATTATTATTATTATTATTATTATTAT